TGACAGTTAAATCCGTCACTAAAAGCCCTTAAACCGTCACTAAAAATCAAAATCGTCCGTCACTACTTAGAGCGTCTTAAAAGATCTTTAGTGACGGTAAAAATGACCGTCACCAAAAAAATGGTCTTTAGTGATGGTATTTACCGTCACTAATAAGTTGTATATTAGGGACAGTCTTTAGACTGTCACTAATACCTAAACTAATTCGTGACAGTATTTACCGTCACTAATAAGTTGTCTATTAGGAACAGTTTTCGGACTGTCACTAATACCTAAATTATTCGTGACAGTAATTACTGTCCATAATAAGTTATTTTTTTATTTTTTTTATCACAATTGTGACAACTAGAAACCATCCCTATTACCCCCTTTTTTTTTTCTTTTTTTTTCCAGCTGTGTGTGTGTGTATATATATATATATTTTCTTCTCATGTTCTTTATAAGGAAAACTCAAACTCCTAACTTAACCCACAAAATATTATACTGCGCACCATAGATAAACATCAAAATAAAGACATGAAAAATATAAAAATAAACTTAAAACCTCTTCCAACATGTTCAGAAATCAGAGCATCATTTTAAACTACATGCCCAACAAAAACTGTATAGTTCAAAGACAAAAAAGGGCTACATACAGTCATAAGAAAGCTTCATAATTTTGTACCAAAATATATGCCCAACAAGATCTTTGTAGTTCAATTAAGACAAAAAGGGCTAGATATATTAGTCATAAGAAAGCTTCATAATTTTGTACCAAAATAGTTAGCTCCATTATATTGGTCATTCGATTTGTGGTTGTGGTTGTGGTTGTGGTGGTGCTCGCGAGTGGTTATAATATCGCCACCATGGTGGCGGCGGCTACTGATATTGCCACCATGGTGGTGGCGGCTGTCAAAGGTGAGAATCTGGTGGCGATGGATGCTCAGACCTGCTTGGTGGGGCTGCTTCTTGTTGGGAATCTGATGAGGATTGCTGATATTGTTGGAACCATGGTGGTGGCCACCATGGTGGTGGCGGCTGTCAAAGGTGAGAATCTGGTGGCGATGGATGCTCAGACCTGCTTGGTGGGGCTGCTTCTTGTTGGGAATCTGATGAGGATTGCTGATATTGTTGGAACCATGGTGGTGACTGCTACTGCTGCTAAAGCATCTTCTCGATTCTTTCCATCTACTGCCGCAAATTTTTTACTTCCTCCTTCAGTTGTGCATTATTTTCCTCAGCAATTTCTGCTCTTTTACGAGAAGCCTCTTCATAAGATGAGGATGCACGTTGACGGCTTGAAATCACGAAACCATGTCCCAACCCACGGGGATATCCTTTCCTGATACCAAGTTGGTTTTGCATTATCTCAACATCATTTCTCACTAGACTGGTACCATCAGAATTTTGAGAAATCTGGAAAGACTTATCCATCATTTCATCCTGCAATTGACATAGAAGTCATAGAATTGAGAATTGAAATACAAGTTAAGGAGAAAAAGACTTGTACTAGAAAATTAGTAAAGGCTAAACTGATCACATTAAGAAAATCAAGGCTAAACAATTAAATAATACACAAAGCAAATACATTAGCAAGGGAGAACATATTATAAAGATTGTCAATTTTAACAGAGTCGGAGCATGTCCCTTCCAGTACTATCCTCCCTTAATGCAGTATATAGTGAGAAACTAATTTGAATATCATGCAAAAAAATGAGACTGAAGCATCATCCATATTATCAACACAAGTCCAGTGGCCAGAACTCTTAGCTGCCTCTCCATTGAGAGTGCCCAAACAACTAATTCTTTAAATCTACTCAATAAGGATTCGATAAAATCCCAACCCATAAAGCAAATAGGATAGGATATAGATAAATTTCAGTGTACATCGTGCACCTATCTAATCTAGAGTCTTTAAAACTATATCCTTACACTTTTAATCCAAGCATATCAAAGAAACATCAATGTTCCAAGCTCAAGACCATTTAAGGTAAAGAACAAAGTCACTAACCCAATTGACCTCCCCACTACATACAAACTATAATTATTCATGTGGTAAGAGGAAACATCACCATATTGAAAATGTATGATTTGAAAAAATTTACTAATAAAGATTGCCATTGTTTACAAAATGCCACCATTCACCATATTCAAGTTTGCATGCAGCAAGCAGGAATCACAGGAGCATGCTTTATAGGCAGTCTCTGACATTATTATTGTTTATGGATTTGAATTATGAAAGTATAAATCTCACATTCTTCATATCATAAAGGGATAACGTAATTTAAATAATTTCAGCGCTCCTATTGGAACTTTTTTCCAGGTCAAAACGTACATGAAAGCCAGGAAGAAGCCAAATCAAGAGAACGGAGCTTGATATATATATAATTGAGTGGTTTGCTTAAATTGATTAATTCTTGTTGGGAGATTATTAATGTACATATCTCTGTTTTATATAATTTTCATCCTTCTCTTTTGTTTTATGTGCACACCTTTCTTCAAGTTTTATAATAAGTTACTTAGTACTATTGAGTTGATATATATATATATATATATGCATTGTCATTCTTCTTTGTGTAAATCATATTATGTTGTAAATTATACCAACTTTTCTCATTCTATACTTACTGTATTAAAAATTAATATTCGGATTGATATCAGCCAAATTTACCCACTTTCAAGAATTAGTGAAGCATCAATTACTTTAGGGGCCAAAAAAAAAAGGGAAATTATTAAAGCAACATTAATTGCCTTCTATTTTCTGAATGCTTACAACAAACTTCGTCATCTCTTATATATATGCACATATATTTGGTAGGGCTGTGATGCTTTGGTGATGCTAGCTTCGCCCAATAACACTGCAGAGAAGGATCATCAGGAAAATATTTCCCTGGATGGGTTTGACACGGTGATTAAAGCCAAGGTTGTTGTTGAAAGAGAGCCTAGGTGCAAAAATCAGGTTTCGTGTGCTGATATTTTGGCCATGGCCACTAGAGATGTGATAGCACTAGTGATCAAGCTTTTTCTCAAAAAACATTACAACGCATTTCCATCATTTGGGGTCCCTTCATCAATGGAATTCAATTATAACATCTAAATTTTGTGTGTGTGTGTGTGTGTGTGTGTGTGTTTTGCTGCAGATAGGAGGACCAACTTATGCTGTAGAGCTGGGAAGACTTGATGGGAGGATCTCTAACAAAGCCAGTGTGCAACACCATCTCCCTCACCCTGAATTCAGTTTAAACCAGCTCAATGCAATGTTTGCTTCACATGGTCTAACTCAAATAGACTTAATTACCCTCTCAGGAACGAATTTTTTTGACTTTGGTTTGTTAACAGTCAAAAAAAAAATTAAATACTCCTCTCTAATAGATTGGCATTGTAACTCCTCTCTAATAGATAGTTTTGTCTGGAACAATTCTATTTAGACCTTTAACTCTAACTTAGAATATTGCTCGGTCATGTATAAAGGCAAGTTTACTTTTGACTCAATGCAACAATTATAATGAATTTGTAGATATCTGAAGCCACACTCTAAAAAATATTACTGAATATTAATAAAATAAAAATAACAAGAACCTGTGAGTAGCAATTCAGATTTTCCAAATCTGTAATTTTTCCAAATATTACTGTCCCAAAAGGATAATTTTTAATTTTATTTCTATTAAAAAATTTCACATTTCCCTAAAATAAAAATACCAAGAACCTGACTTAGCATGTTCTTCTGCCAAAAGTGTTGTGCAAAGTGCCCGTGTGTGCCTCCAGCTAAAATCATAATAGGCATAGTTGGTTTACTTACGTAGTTCCGCTTAGCTTTCTCATATACCCATCCAGTTTCTTCCCTAAAATTTGTCTCCTTATACAGACGAATAGTAGGACCCTCCCGGTGACTTTGGACTTCCCCATCTTCTTCACTCTGCCTTTGTTGACTTTCTTTTTCCTGCAACACAAAGTAATAATTAGCATTGGATAATATATAGTTTAGATGGATAATAGATTGAAATTAATAATTATTGTTTTATATATTGTGTACATAAGCATCATAACGTCTGACAAAAAACATCGATCCTGAAACATGTGGAATCTCATTCTTCGAACAGTTAGCTTTATTTCTTTAACTTATTTTCTGCATAGTAATTCAAAGACTAATAAAAGTTAACACGCCTAAATAGCTAGTGAATTAATGTATTACAATCAATGATTGGAGACCAATGATTGACTTTACCTTGCTTTTCAGATTACTGATGCAGATATTCAGAATACCCCCAAAACAGAGATCTATTATTTGACAATGAGTGAAACCATATAAAGCTTTAAACATTTGTAAAAACCAACAAATAGCACCACCAGCCATGTAAATTCAAATTAACTACCAACAAAGCTTTTATTTAAAATGAAATTGAACTTGTTAATTCAAAAGCAATATAATCTAACTCAAGAAATAATAATCAAATTCAAGAACAAGAATCCAACTCAAGAAATAATAATCAAGCAACCTACATCATTCTAGAAGCCATGGCAAAATACTGGCTGTCATACAGATCAAGTCAACCCCAAAAAAGCACCTCACAAATCAAACTCTCAAATTACGAAGAGAAAAGCATAAATCTTAAATCAGCTCACCGAACTGAAAATCATACAATTTTTTGCATCTACTAAACTATTGCAAGTTAAAACAATGAAATCATACTATTATATATTCAATTCCAGTATTATTAAAAGAATGTATATAGCGTAAATGGCTCAATATTAGGACAGTCTGAAAATTCTCTAAACCAAAGGAGCAAGAAAAGCCAATTACATGATCTGTTGGCAGAAGAAGTTTTGTTGAAGTCTAATGATAGAGACATGTCTAATGAAAGAGTTCAGGCGTAGAGACGTTTTCAGGTGTAAAACCTTTTCTGATTGAAAACTCAGGACAAAAAGTTCAGTTATAGATGCATTTTATTTAAAAGATAGTGCGACATTGAAAATATGAAGGAAAAAAAAAATAGTTTCTCAGATGAAAAGAAAAGAACTCATTACCTTAAAATGATCATAGCAAACCTGTCACTCAGATTCTGGAATATCCCTCCATGTTTTGAAATTTAGTAGTGCTTCTTTATCTCTCATGTGGATGCCAACTTCCGCCGTCCATAATTTGTTATTTTTTCCTACGGGTTTAATATACCCCGTCCCAAACTCTACCGGAATTGGAACATCTTTTCCATAGAGTCCCTTAGCTTTTTGTAGGGCGACATTCTTTGCTTTTCCACGCCCTTTTCGCCTTGGGCCTGAAAAATAAATTTGTTATCTTAATTAAAAACTTAGGCATTTTACAAAAGAGCTTATAGTTAATCAATGATGAAGCATAATTATCACCTCCACTTGGTTGTGGCCTCGTTTGTGAATTACTACCGTCACCTTCCATACTAGGCTGTTGATTTGTTGAATTACTACCACCACATTCTCCATTCTGTTGTACAGCAGGTAAACTTGAAGATGGTGCCCCAGTTTGAGGCAAGCTAGCAGGTAAACTTATAGCTGGTGGCTCAGTTTGAGGCACGCAGGACCTTAATACTCTATGCATTGGAGCCTCAGAGGTGTCCATAATTAAACTACCATGCTCCAGAATATAAACAAAAAATGTAAATTTAGTGACATCATTTGTTAGTGTAATAGAAATCAAATGGCATTCTCAAAGGGAGAAGTATTCCTTTCATGGCATAATAACATTATTGCTGCTTTGAGGAACCTCCCCGTGATATATCCAATTGGTATACTCCCTGTCCATCCCATTACTTAAGAGATGCTTCTCAACTTCTTCAATTTGCATATACCCCATCTTGTTTCTGCAACGACGACACGGACATCGAGACCTACGGTCTGACACTACATGACGACTAGCCACCTTAATGAAGCTTTTTATGCCATCCAAATACTTTCGACTACCCCTATTGTGATCATGAATCCAAGACTTGTCCATGTAATTGGCTATACACACAAAAAATAAAAATAAAAAAAATAAAAAAAAAAATATCAGTTATAAACAAAAGTCATTTGATGCATGTGTTGAATATTTCATAACTCTTTCAACTTCTTCCATGACGGGTGGGTGGTCCTATCCCATTCAAGTCTTGGAAAAAGTAAAACCTTTTTTTTTAATAAAGAAAATATCTTAAACCAATATACATGAGGACATAAATAGTCTCAAATATCTTAAACCAACCAAACCTTTTTTTTAATGAAGAAAATAGGGAGTATTGACAAAACCAGCGCATGCCTATGCGAATTTTGACGATATCCTTAGCTTCTATGTACAGTTTCATAATATATAGTGCTTCCTGTAAGATTCAATATACATCCCAAATACTGGAAAGGCAAATGAAAAGAGAAAATGGGTTTGAATCTGAGACAAAACATAAATTGTATGATACATTGTCTTAAAATGAAATAAAAATAAAAAAAGTAGATATCAATAGGTTTTTTGCGTAGATGGTATAAGCTCTCCTATTTTGTGGAGCTCCGAGTGTTCGAAGTCCCGTGAGGTGAGGTGAATAAACCGTGCTTGTTTTTTAAAACGTAAATGATATCAGTTTTTGGAAATTGTAATACATTATTCCTAAAGTTTTTGGAAATTGTAATACATTATTCCTTAAACTAAATCATCATATTTGATTATCACCTCCAAAACTTAATCTAGGGATTTTTTTTTCTTTTCTTTTTTATTTTTTTTTTTCCCAATTTGAACACATTTAGATTACTGTTGTAATGTGGGGTATATTTGTTAAATAATCTACATTTCTCTTTGTTGCGTAATATGCAAAAAAGCCAAGTAGTAAACAAATTGTTGTTTTTGCTTACAAATACAATTAGCACTTGAAAAATTGTAACCATAGGATCCCTGAAAAATATAGCTATACTACTATTTTCACTTCCATCAAGCATCATAAGTTCACTTTATTCTTAAGCAATAGTTTTACTGTTTCCAATAGCAAATTTACAATTAAACAAATATGCAAAAAAGCCAAGTAGTAAACAAATTGCTGTTTTTGCTTACAAATACAATTAGCACTTGAAAAATTGTAACCATAGGATGCCTGAAAAATATAGCTATACTACTATTTTCACTTCTATCAAGCATCATAAGTTCACTTTATTCTTAAGCAATAGTTTTACTGTTTCCAATAGCAAATTTACTAATACCACCAACCAAGTCAATGGATTAGTTTGAAATTCATTAGCTGTCCCAGCACTAAGCTCTGCTTTCTTAAATATTTGCTAAAGCCTAAGCATAAACAACATGAATATTCAATCAGTTTCAAAGAGTTTACTGTATCATAATGATCAAAATAATGTGGTTGGACATGTAGGTATATAACAAGCTCTATAAAAAGAAATAAAAATCAAATAAATAAACCACGACGATATATTACACAAAACAAAATGGCATCAAAAGTGACAAGAATGCAGATTCCCTTTAGAAATTGTTCACTATATGCAATGTATAAAACCACATAGCATGCGCACACACAGGCATGTTTTCAGTCCATAATGCATTAATCACATAGACCAAAAGTTGAAAGTGGAACAAAGATCAAAGAGGGTATAAGTATCAAATCTATTGAACTGATTTCTTTTAATTTTTGAACAAAACACATTGAGTCACATATAAAATACTCTACAAATAACACCATACACAAAATAATAAATAGAGAGATAACTCTAGCCTTACCAAGCAAATATACAGATCTAAGAAGCAACGGAAAAAAAATATATATCAAAAATAAATAACACTTACAACACTAGTAGAAGAGTTAGTAGTGACACTGAACTTCTGGTAGCTCTGGTAGTCCTTGTAGAGAAGATCTGCGGCACGAAACAACACTAGTTAATTATATGTGTATATGTGTATATATAGTGGATGTATAAGAAGTTAGGGTTTATTAATCGGGAAATAAGGGAATTGAGGAGTGAAAATTATCGACGGTAGGATTGATGTTGAAGACGGCTGAGAGTGTTAAGAGGACTCGTTGATAGGAGAGTAATGGATGTCAGGAAAGATCATTTCCGGCTGCTGCTGTTGGGGGGCCCTTCAAGATCTCCATATTGATACCCACCTTGAGAAAGAGAAAATCTAGGGCTACGACTTCAATTGAAAAAAAATAGATCGATTAGGAAAGGCCAAACCAGTTTGAGAGAGAGGACGGAAGGAGAAGAACGAGCTAAGGCAAGAAACAGTCTTCAGACACAGAGCACATCAAATAAGAAATTTAGCAAGTAATCCCATACAGAGACATATACTTAATTGAAAAGAAAGAGATCGATTGGGGAAGACCAAACCATTTTGAGAGAGAGGACGGAAGGAAAAGATCGAGCTAGGGCAAGAAACAATCTTCAGACACAGAGCACATCGAATAAGAAATATATAGTTAGTTAATTAAGGACGATAACATTACCGTCCCAGAACCCTATTTTGATCATTTTTTTATTAAAAAAAAATTATAATTTCACTTAAATGGGCTTTTGGGACGATAACTTTACCGTCCCAAAAGGCTATTTTGCTAATTTTTTTATTAAAAAAATTATAATTTTATTAAAAAATGGCACTAAGTTTTGCCGCCACCAGATTGGAGGGATTTTTTATTTTTTTTGTTCTTTTAGGGACAGACAGTTAGGACTGTCGCCAAAAAATGTATCATCAGTGACAGTAATTAAAGTCTGTCCCTAAAAATAGGGTCTAATAATCCTTTTTCTTATAGTGCATCTTATCCTCAAGAAAATTCGGAGTCCTACTTTTAAGGAAAAAGTGTTGACTGCTTTGGGTACTTTGGAGGCAAATACCCAATTATTTCATTCTCATTCCAAATCCATTGTTAAGCTAGAAACCCAAGTTGGGTAAATAGCTAGTACCTTGAATGCTAGGGAAAAGGGGAAAATGCCATTGAATCTACCACCCAAGCAACAATTTGTTGTGGAGACCAATTCCTTATCGGAAAGTCACATAATTGAACATGTCAATGCGGTGACAACCTTAAGAAGTGGAAGAATTGTGACAATCAAGTTGGTAAAAATGAAGAGAGTGAACCGGTGCAACCAAAGTTGACAGCCGTCTCGTTTCACATCCTATTCCTCCTTCATTGCATGTGAAAGAACATTTTGTTAAGAAAGATTTGAGAAATAATTTGAAAAATTCTTGTATTGACAATGTGTTGAAAAAAGATTTTAAAAATTTTTTTAAGCCAAATGCTTCATTTCCGGATGCCTTAAAAAGATCTAATTCTCTTGAAAAACAACAAGGCAAAGTGAATGAGATCATTGAAGTGTTTAGGCAAGTGAAGATTAATCTTCCTCTCTTGGATGCAATTAGACAAATTCCGGCGTATGCCAAATTCTTGAAAAATCTTTGTACCCTAAAGAGGAAGAACAAGAGTCAAGCACTAAAAATAGTTTATTTGACCGAGCACGTAAGCTCCATTTTGCAATATAACACACTTCTAAAATTCAAAGACCCCGGTTCACCCACTACTTCCTGCATTATTAGTGACCATGTCATTTACCGTGCTCTTCTTGATTTGGGAGCAAGTGTGAACCTTCTTCCATATTCAGTCTATGTTCAATTGGGCTTAGGAAACTTAAAACCGACGTCGGTAGTTTTGCAACTAGCCGACCGATCTATAAAAAAGCCCCGGGGTATCATTGAGGATGTGTTGATCAAAATTGATAAATTCTTCTTCCTAGTCGATTTCGTAGTCATAGATGATAAACGCTGAATATATACATATTCGAGCCCCTAAATACGTATATGTTAAGGCTTAAAGTGATATATATATATATATATATATATATATATATATATATATATATATATATATCTTGTTTTATACTGATTTATGTTTATTTTGTATTTTTAGGTGTTTTCCCAAAAAAACAGTTAAAACCGAGCTTTTATGATTAAAAAAAAAAAATGATAATGAAGTTTATCGCGTCGTTGCCGGTCATCCGAAGCAAGCCAAGAGTCAAGATGGTGAAGTTTGGAAGAAGTCAGAATCCAAAGCTCGAGCCTAAGTCTTGAGGCTCGAGCCTTACACCTTCAGGCTCGAGCCTGAACAAAGGATGCTTGAGCCTTAACCAAGGGTGCTCGAGCCTTGACCCTCAAGCTCGAGCATGAGGCGTCGAAAATTAAAGAGTTGATTTTAATTGAAGGCAATACTCCCAGGTCTCGTGCCTCACTTCCAAGATCGAGCACCATTCACTAAGGATCGAGCATCATCCACTGATGCTCGAGCCTTGAGCCCCAAATACTCAAGCTTGGTACCTTGGGATCGAGCACCATGAAGATAGGATTGAGCACCGACACTTTGGGCTTAAGCATGGCTAAAAACTCTAAACCATCTTCAGTATTTTAGCCATAAATTTTGACTCGAAAATCCAAATTAAGAAAACTCAGTGGTTTTGGAAAGAAGACTCGACGCCTGACGTTTTTGTCTCTAATAGCCATCTCCAAATTCGCATTCTCAATGGGTTAAAATTGTTTACAAAGTTAGATAAAATTGCTGGCTGGTAATGCTCGAGCCTAAACCCAAATGCTTGAGCCTGGAACTCTGAGGCTCAAGCCTGGACGTCCTGGAAGTCGTAAAAACATGTGGGAATTACCCAAAAACATATTTCTTTATTTCCTTATGGGCCTAATTGTTACCAAAAGCTAGAAAACCAATCTAAAGGGGATTGGGACTTGTTCTCCACTATAAAAGAAGAGGAGAAGGGATCCATCTCTCATCTGTTGTCTCATATTTCTCTCTTCCATAAATCTCTTATCTCTGTCATATATCTCTGGCTTTTAGGGTTTTGAAGGGAACTCCCCAAGAAAGAAGTACAGACCTTGACGATGAAGACTACACCAACACAGATGATATATGGCGTCGTCATGAGTGGCTAATTCCTCTCTTAGTACATTGATGTAACCCGATCTGATTACTATAGTTTGATTGTTTATACTTTAGGAATTTAATAATTTATATACTTTAATTATATAATTTTGAGCAATTAAGCCAACTCAATTGGTGTTTTAATGAATTAATTGTTTCTGAATAGTTATTACCTTGTCTTAGATATAACTGTTTATAAACTGTTCTCAATCCATTCTTATTGGATGGTATCTGGCGGAGCCCTGCCGGACAAAAGAATGGAGATCATGTAATGGTATTCAAACGTTTTTTTGTGAATGAATATTTTCATATGCTATGCTTAGGAAAGATAGATTATACTACAAAATTAGTTAGAAGTAGGTAGGTGGATAGTCCATGCTAACCGCAGATAGGTTATAGTTAATTGAAATTCATAAAATATCTTTCTTTAAAACTGAATTAAATGAATGTTATTGAGTTTAATTCATATGGTATATAAATTGTTAAAATCCCAAGGTTGAACAGTTGACCATAGTAGGAGGATTGTGGTAAAGTCAATCCCCAAGTATTTCTACCCTTAATCTCAATTCTCTTTTACTTTATTTATTTTCTTTTATGTTATTGAATTACAACACAACACACAAAATCAAATCCTCTTTCTAAATTAAAATAGTATTAATTGAAGACTCAATAAACCATCATAGTCTTTGAGGTTTGACACCCTCAACATAGCCCTATCCTACAAGGATTCATTCTATTGCGAGTGGTATTTTATTATTGATAAATAAAAACACGCATCAATAGACACGGAACCGGTCGCAAATCCCAAGAGCAAAATTCCTGTTATCCTTGGCCGTCCCTTCTTGGCAACCGTTAATGCCAACATAAATTGTAGGACGGGGATAATGAAAATTTCATTTGGGCATATGAAGGTGAAGTTAAACATATTCAATCTAACCCCCAATTCTATGGACAAGCACGAAGAAGTGTGTGTTGTTGAAAAACGCATTGAAAATGAATTTGAAAAATTTGAGTCTTCGCTTGATGTTGAGCATTCCAATGGTTTGCTTTTCAAAAAGACTTCAAGGAAAAATGTTTTCAAATTAAGTGTTGTAAGGGCATGGAAGCCCAAGAATTGCTTTGATCAAGGAACGTTAATTCCTTTTGAATCAAATCCAAAAAGTTCCCTAGGGAATAGTTTGTTAGGTGGGGTTCAAAGTTCTTTCCGCCCCATTAAGGAGGGGATGCATAACCATATTTTTTATCCGGGCTAAAAGAGCCCAACGTCTTGCTAAAAACGTTAAACACTAGTGGTTCGTAGGGTTTTCAACCTTATTCCTCCCTCATTTCTCTTTACTTTCATTTCTTGTATCGTCTAGATATATTCTGCAATCATACACATTGTTTGAGACTTTGATAGGGAATTTATGTGCTTTCATCTTCGAATTAGGCATTTGGTGCCTATTCGATGGATCATAAAAGAAGTTTGGTCAATCAAACACCGTCTCTGCATATTCCCATCTCTCTGTTCCATCATGTGAAAATTCTCTGCATATTCACCTCTCTATGTACCGTGCGAACTTTTCATCAGATCGCTCCAAGTTTTCTCGATCGATCCAGTTTCCCTTTCGATCAATCTGTGTTTTATACTTAGCAAAATTTTTGAAACTCTGAAAAATCACCTCTTTGTGTATCGTTCAAAGATTTCTGCAGGTTTCCACCTGTTGGATTGATCAAAATTCGATCGATCTGTGTTTGCTTCCGTTTGACTTTGACTTTTCAAATTTCAAAATTTTGAATTTTATAAAAAATAAATAAATAAATAATTTACAAAAATCCAAAAATATTTTAAATTTCCAAAAAATGAAAAATTTGAAAAATATTTTGTCGTCTTGTGGGTTCGATCGATCTGAACACCTTCATGATCGATCTATGTTCGATCGATCTATTGACCCATGAGATTGATCGAACATGTCAGGAACTGTTTTTAAAAATATGACCTAACGGTCATTTGGATCAATTTTAACATCAATCCAAAGCCCTTCCTTCCTCCCGGCGTCTCTCTTTTCGTCTTCCCCACCTCCGGCGACACTCCGGCAAGGTCCAAGCTTCACTTTTCATCTCAGATCGATCTCCTCTCATCTCATCTCTCTCGATCCACTTCTCTCCTCTATTTTTTCATTTTTGTTTTATTTTTATGTTAAACATGTTGCCATGCTTAGATTAGAGCCTTCCATGTTGATTTATTGCCATTTTTTAAGCTTCCAAACATGTGTATACATATATTTGTATATGTATATATCTTTTGTTTTCGAATATGATTTCGAGGGTCACGTACCGATTTAAGTGACCATTCATGCTTTATTGAGGTGTATAGGGGATCACGAGCCTTGAAGTGATCATTTGGATGCCCCCGTGTTATCCATGCCACAGATCCGTGACTGTCCATATTTTTCCACAGGGTTCGATCGATCACACCATAGCTGTGATCGATCTGAGCTAGATCAATCCAGCAC